ACCCTCGCCCCTAGGTTCACTACCAGGCGGCGCAGCCTGTACCGCGAGCCACGCGCTCCTCTGTTCGCATTTCATTTTTCCCCGATAGTACACCAGAGGTGGCCCGGGGCCGCCCTAGAGGAAGACGGCGTGTGTGAGATGAGCAGGACAGGAAAGACGGCAACCTACCTGTTACCTCGTCTGGGAATTTCCTGCACTCGCCCTCCACAGAAGCACGGTGCTGGGCAGCCTCGAATCTGGCCGACCATCTACGAAGAATCGGTCTTTCCGTGCGGCCCTAGCGAAGATCAGAGAGCTGTCCTGGAGTCGTTTCTGGTATAAACCCAGTAATAAAGGATAGTCTACAGATAAGACATGTCTTTGAACTTTCCCATTCTGCAGCCCCAAGTGACTTCAAGTAGGTTGTATGATTTCCCTTGCTGCCAGCAACGCCTCCAAGACGGCAAAGCCCGCGCGTTATATCACATGGCGTCACGTCCGGGGGTCGCGCACGGACGCTGATTGGATGCGAGTACCGCGTCAGCGTTCGCGTGGGACTATGATAGCAAACGAGCCCCACAGGCGAACGCTGACGCGGCACTCGCATCCAATCAGCGCCCGTGCGGGACCCCCGGACGTGACGTCATGTGACGTAACGCACAGGCTTTGCTGTCTAGGTGGTGTTGCTGCGACCCGTCTCGGAGAATGACACAACGCACTGATTCAACAACATGTAGTCATTTATTAACTGTTTTCTCCCGCGCCGCGACCGAACAAGTCCCCGTGACTACGCTGCGACGGCCTTTTATCACGGGCGGAGCGCCGCTCACGTGGCCAGTTGCACTTGGCCCCTTCGCGGTGAAAATTATCACGGACGATTTAGCGTGAGTAAAGCCTGGTCCAACGCTTTGAATCTCCTGATTGCGCACATGATACCGGATGAAAATAAACCAATAGATATGGGCGATCACTCAAAAAATGTAGTTTTTCTGTGCTCCGTTCTTAGTGATTATATTTTCGCCCGTATATGAAACAGATATCGATTGGGTATGTTGAGATTAGCTTGTGTACACAAAATTAGGTGAAAACCTAATGACACTAATAATGGGATGTGTAGTGCACTCCTACGGTCTGCCATCGCTGTGCTGCGGCCCATTTTCGGACGATACGGGGCACTGTTTCGGAGGCTGTCGGTTGGACGATCGCGTGACATGATCGCCTCTTGATATTGAGGTCGGGTGCTTAATCCGGGGAAGGTGCTTTCCCGCCGAGTGAGGATGGTTGTATTGTCACGGTGAGTTTGAGATGATTGTAAAACTGAAAAGAAACGTTTAATTAGGTGTACTTGTGCCGACAGACTTAAATGCTATAGGTACCACGCACCTTACGTCAGAAGAGCGGCTGTTTCAAAACAGCCCGTATCCGCGGATTTTGTACACGTGGTCAGTTCATGAATGTTCGGAAGCAGAATACTCGGTGGCAACCGATAATGAGCTGGAACTTAGAAGAGCGCAAAAGTATAATAGAAAGAACCGTGTCGATCGGTGTTTACACCTTGTTCACCCGCGTGGGAACCGAGTATTTTGCTTACTCCGCCACGCACGCGTCAATATCGATAGACGGCGCTGGCCCTACAGTGCCAAAAATCTCCACATCTACCATATTAGTTTAAGAGGGTACGGAAACAAAGTGACGTGAACATGAGCTCTCTACTTCTCGCTTCGAAGTCGGCCAGCGAGAAGCGCAATGCGTGACGCGCTTTTGACGTCAAGAGTTCCTGCAGGGCCAAGGGTACTGTAGTTGCGAGCGTTGCCGCTTGGCGGTGTCAACACGGGACAATTTCGCCTGGTCGTAATATTCGAGAACTCTACGCCATATGGCCTAAACATAGCATGCGCGCCACGTCATTCGCGGCCATGCCTGTATTTTTTGTGCTACGAGCATAAAGTTAATCGCGTTGGTTTCAAACCGCATAAATATATTAGCTAGAAGGAACCAGCAAAAAGAAATAACCGTCAGTACGCGGCAATGGCAACATCTGCAAGTTGTGCATATAAGGTATTCACTGAGTGCCATATTTCAGCGCGTTATTCAAAGCGCATCCATGATTGCGGGGGGGGGGGGGGGGGGGGGGGGGGTTTGCTTGGCAGAGGTACTCGCATCCTCAGATCAAGCTCCTGCCTATCGCCTACAGAAAACGCTTATCTTGATACTGTGGAATGCAGGTTGCGGAAGCACTGTGCAAGCTTTAACATGTTTAAAGCAGTAAAGTCATTAAAAGGGTACTCTGGCGATCTTTTTTAAATGCCCCAATTAACTAAATTTATGAGTCCCCTGCCTTTGCCCTTTCGAGTATGCTGTTTAGTATCGCGAAACTTAGAATAGCTATTGTGAAATCGACACATGAAAATTGTGCCAAAACCAACATTCAAATATACACGCTCTTTTCAGTGCCGTGACGTCAGTGGTAGGCAGACTCGCCAGTCGAGCTGGCGGTCTAAAATATGAACAATGCCGAGCATTTGTTTCGGGCTGTTGCGCGGCTGCTGAAGCGAGCTTCCAAAGCATTCCCTTGACACCATGGAACTGCTTGTAATCAGTTGGGAACAAATTAGTCCAAAGAGTGAACCCCTGCACTTCCACTGACGTCACTTTTTCGTTGTTGCCTGTAGAGACTTTCACATTGAAAAACACGATGAGGACAAAAATTGTATTTCGGATAACTTCGAAAAAAATATTATTTGCCTAATATTTTGGGTTACTATTTCAGCGATTTATTTTGGTGTGTCTCGGAAATGTTCTGCCAAATCGGCACATTCCAGACGATGTGACTCCACGAGCAAGCCATACTGCCGCGAAACTGGAGCTGCTTCTTAGGAACTCAAAACGTGGCGGCATTACAACGGAGCTTCAGAGACCTCCACGAAGCTCAAATTTGAAAATCTGTTAACACCTTTTAAAATACGTTTTCTTGACTTTTATTCTGGCAGCCCAGAAACAATAGTCTAGAGTTTCTTGGTTGACAGCATTGCATATATTACATATTAACAAAAAAATAAGCGGAAACATTTTGTTTCCATACTCATATAATAAATATGATTTCCTTCTCTACCTCTACTTCCTTTGTCCTTGTGGTGTTTGCGTGTTTCTTTCGTCTGCCTTCGTTGATTTTCGATGCCACGCGCGATCAATCCGTGTAGGTATCGCACATTCCGTGATCAAGTGGGTGCGGGAGGTGAACAACATTAACCGCGCGCATCTCGCCAAGTGGAGAACCAAGAAAACGAAGGAATCCAAAGGCGCGCCCCAAAGAAAATCTTCATTGTGCTAGCTTGCAACCTGCTAGCGATACCGCGTCATTCTTCTTTATAAGAGGTGGCATGATAAAAGACGTTGAACTTTTTAGGCTCGAATATTTTTTTTTTATCAGGTTGTTAGAAGCGATTTTATCTTTGGGTCAAACACCATTGGTGTTATAAAAAGAGGATTTGGATCGCTACACAATCTCACTTCACCCAGTGAGCAAACTCCGAACTTCCAGCTGGTTGGACGCCATTCGTAAGTAGCGCAAGCTCTTCGAGCTTACTTGAATTGTGGTTAGTCCTTACTTTAAAAGTTCCCAAAGAAGTGTTTTGTTAATATATATACTATATGATTTCTTGACAATAAAAATAGCTTCCGAAAAATCAGACGAGAAGCAAGATTTGAACCACCATTTCAGCGCAAGCACGTAGCTAGGGAGAAGGCGGGCATGGGCCCGGCCCCCCCCCCCCCCCCCCCCCCCCCGAAATCTTTCATTTTGCTGGGACCTCCTCTCCTCCCTTCCCCACATACAGTATTTTGTCATGGGTGCCCCCCCCCCCTTCCCCCCCCCCTCCCCCCCTCCCTCCATCCCGGAACAAAATCCTGGCTACGTGCCTGTTTCAGCGATCCTCACCCACTGGTTCAGCCGAAACATTTTTGCCGGCGTTCTAGGGAATCAACTCAATTACCGGTTTCGGTTAAAGTGCCCGAATATCATAATTTAGGAATGCAGAGAAGGCAGGAGGTAATTAAAACAGAAAATGTGATGAGCTTTTCCGTTCACTTAATTTTTCCGGGTGTTCTATGCTACCTTTGATAAAAAAAAATATATAATCGTGCCGCCACCAAGATGTACAACGCGTTCGAGCCGGCACGAGCGTAGATCCGAAAAAACCTCAAAATTCCTGTCGTTGCCAGGTTTTCTGGGATTTTCCGGAAAGGCCTATTGAGGTTTGTGTGTTTCGACAATGGCAGCAATAATGCTGTACGTGTTTTCGGGACGATATGACTTTCAAGACTAGGGGAACCGCAAGCATACTTGTTTCTATCTCGAGTACTCCACTCATGATACTGTATTTCAAATCCTTTTGGTTGTAATTCGGTATCGTCTAAACATATTTGATCGAAAGCATTTGGTACTCTGTCTTCCGTACATTTCTCAGTATCTGGTACTCATTATTTCAAATGCATTTTTTTTTGTTTGAAAAACAATATCGCGGGAATTTATTACGGGAATAGGAGTCAGCGCACCCCAGCGCTAAGTTTAGCAATGGCAAACTTGAAGCGGAAGCGACCAAACTAAGAACAGGAAACATGCCAGGTCTAAAAATGCAGGCTCAAAACGCCAACAAAGTAACAAATAGAAAGAAAAAATGAGGAGAGGCCACCAGAACAAAAACAAAGTGATTTTCTTGTTTATTTATGTTTGAACTGGCAAAGGCAAGAATGTCGATTTCTTCTTCCAGTCTGATACTCTCAGGAACCGCGGAGGGAACGGGCATAGCTCCACCCTTTCATGAAGAAATAGATTTCAACAGCTAGAGTAACTTATATGCTCCGCTTGCTCCGCAAGCGGAGCATATGTTGCAAGCAGAGCATATACATTTACTCTAGTAACAGCAAAGCAGGAAACCAGATATGAGCCATCAGGATGTAGTTGCATTTCCTTTTCATGTGAAAACATTAATTGAATCCGCGTGTTTTTGATCTAGGTGGATCACATTATGAAGAACACTGGTCTTTCCTTTTCTATCATAAGAGACGCAAGGCTGATTGTGGCAATGTTTGTGTTATTTGCAATTTGTAAACCAATTGCAGCTGAAGTTGGTGAGTAGAAGATTCTGTCGTTCTTGCAGTTTAGACGCCGCATATAATCTAATAATTAGACTTTTATGTCGTCTTGGCCTGGTTGTAGCTACCCCTGATGTTGAAAGAATAAAACAAAAATGGCATGATTACCTGTTGTTGTGAGGCTGCATCAATATCTACAACGGACAAATAAAAGCTCATACAAAATTTGTGCACACTCTGCCCCGTAGAAGGCTATCGTGTCTGTGAAGGTAATTATTTCGAGGGCCAATTTAACTTCAAATCAAACTTTCACTAATTTATTCGGATGCCGGATAAATTTTTGTTTTTCAAGTTGCTTTTTTTTTTCAGTTGCTGATTCTTTTTGAGGGACGCTAAACTATTTTCCCAGCTTGTTTTAACAGCGACCCGAATTAACCCTCAACGGTCATAAAACCCAGAAGAGGAATTTGTTTCCCTTTGAATCCGTTAACGCAAAGTAATAATAACCGAACAAGACAGCGAAAGGAGAAATCACGTAGGCCATAACTAGAGCCACTAAATGAGCTACGCTTAGAATATCGGCAATCCGTTCCCCGATCTCCTAGTGGACACCGCCATCTTGGTGCTTAGTGCAGAGCAGAAGCAACTGTCGATCGTCACAATTAATAAATGCGAATTAAATGCTGAGTACACTGATAACGTGTCCCGCCTTCTTGCTAACGTGGTCGGCATTCCACAACTGGCAAGGCGCCAGGCGCTCACTGTGACGTCTTTGAATAATTCCGCTTTCATTGACAGACCGAAGTAAAATAATGTCGGCCTGTCAACTTTGACAGTGATGGGCTTAAAAAAGGGTGTCGAACCTAACCCGAACCCTAACCGAAAACCGGAGAAAAAGAGTTATTTTGACCTACCCGGCAACAATACTGAAACCGATATCATATATTTGATGTTAAACAGGAACGGGAACGAAGCCATCATTTCCTGTGGCGGTTACCGGTTCATTGAAAAATGGTTTGGAGTAATGAAATGCGAACGTCGTTCCTTGTTTTTCTTTCTTTTTTTCTTCGGAGGAAGGGGGGCGGGAGGGAGTAGAAACGGGCGTTTGAGGTTTAGTGTTGACTAAAGGCCCTTTCACACACCTGCAATTGCTTGGGACAGGATTCTTGTAACTTTTGCTACAAGATAACAAACATGCTGGAACGCTGGCGCCATCTGTAAGCTAACTCTCGAACTGCCCCTTACTAGATTGAAGCTTTTGCATTAATTTTAAAATCAAACGTAAAAAAAAAAGAAAAGAAAAAAAACTAAGCTTTTTTTTAGAGTAGGAAATACACGGAAATGGCAAATGTTACACAGCTACCTGATAGATGGCGCCAGTGTGTTTTCTCGTCATAAGAGATTCCAAGACGTGTTTAGGCACATTGCTGTACGAAGTCGCAGCTGTGTAAAGCTGTGTTTGGGAGACACTAAACAGTCATTCTGGGAGTGAAGAATCAATTTTTGAGAAATTGAATTAGTCACGTGACCAAAGAGGGGGGAGGGATGGGGAAGGGGTAAAGGGATGAATGGGAGGGGAAGGGATGCAGATGGGGAGGGGAAGAGGTCGCAGTAGGAGGGCAAGGAAATGGATTGGGAGGAGAGAAAGGGAAGGAGATAGATATGGGGAGACGAAATAGACCATATGCGAAATGCACTGTGCCATCTAAAGAGGCGCCGAAGAGCATGCTCCGTCTCACCAGTTGGCTACGGCGCAAGCAAAGGCCAGGTCGCGAAAACGTAATTCTGAAGAATCCTTCGCTCGCACAAGCACTCGCGCAGAGAGAGCGCTTTCGAAAACCAGGCGCCCGCGCCCGCGCCTTTGCCAGCACTCAAAGCCAAATTTCGAGCTGAAGTGTATGTCCGCCATGTTGCTTGCGGCGAGAAACCAGCGACAGGCGGAGCGACGACCACGCACATGCAGAAGAAAAGCGCAAAACAATACTAACCCTTAGCTCGCAGGTGTGGGTGAGGATAGATGACGGTGAGCAGTAGGCCTCCATTGTTACCGACAACGCTACGAAATTGACAAAAAGCGGAGGAATCTCGAAGAAACAAAAATGGCAGTGCACAAATTGTTGCCAGACGCTCGAACAATTTCGCATGTGGTCTATTTGAACCAAATAGTTTACTAGGAAACTATTCTTTGACATATGTCGCGTTACGTAACTTTCCTCGCTAAATGTAGCGGGAAAACTGAGTTTGTGTGTCACTTGACGAGGGCGAGAGGAAGGAAAGGTAAGAAAAGGGATGGGCAGAGAAGGGAGGGGGAGGGTAGTGAAGGGAAGGAAGGCACATGGGGGAGGACACCCTAGGAGGAAAGGAAGGTTGGGGAGGAGAAATTGGTGTCACACGTTACGTGTATTTTCCCGCTAAATTTAGTTCAAAAACTGAATATGTGTACTGGTCACGTGTCGTCGATTTTTCCCGCTAAGTGTATTGGGGAAGCTGGATTTGTGCTTAGGGCATGTAATGTAATTTTTCCGCTCTTTCTTGTGGGAAAATGACTTGATTAGAAGTCACGTGGCGCCAATTGCCCCGCTAAATTTAGCCGAAACTGAATTGATGTGCAGGTGCCTTAAAGTAATCACTTTCCCCAATAAATTTAGCGTAGAAACTGAATTGGTGTTTTGGCCACAATGCGGCACTTTCCTACTAAATTTATGGTGAAATTGAAGTGACAAAGAGATGAAGTAAAGTCAATGTACCTAAATTTTTAATTGTTTATTAGTTGCTTTTTTCATTTAACAACTGAAGTTTCTAGCCAGAAGCTATTTTTTTCGTTCCAATTGGTAAGAAAAAAAGCCACCAAAGAATGGTTCCTGAACGACAAAGGCATAAAACAACATTTGCAAAACAAAGACAGTACCTCTTGCAACGTAAAACAAGAGCAGCAACATAAGGGCAGTACATACAATCTATCTAAATGGGCATGACCGCATCCTCGAGAAAAAATAAATGAAGGCTTTGCATGTCACCTAAACTATCGCCCATATCTTCAAGGCCGTACTTATTGATGCATAAAATGCTTCTTAACGCTATTCCCCAATCCGAAAATTTCCTCTGTCCGTTCGTCGGTCCGTGCATTTTCCGCTAAATATAGCGGGAAACTGACGTCACGTGATTTGTACACAAATTCAGTTACCCGCTGAATTTAGCTGGAATATTCACGTCGTGTGACCAAGACACAAATCCAGGTTCCCGCCAAATTTAGTTGAGGAAATCTACGTCACGTGACGACGTAACGTGACCTGTACAGCCATTCAGCTTACCCGCTATATTTAGCGGGAAAACATACGTCACGTGGCACACCTATTCCCTCCATCCCGTTCCTCCTCCTTTCTTCCCCTTCCTTTTTTTCTCCCCATCCTTCTAACCTCCTAGTAACATCTCCTAGATTACCTTAGGTTAGGTTGCTCCCGGTTTGTCCTCCTTCTCCATCTCTCCCTCCCTCCCCACCTACCTCCAATACTATAATCCTATAATGCCCTTTAAATTATAATCCTATGCTGCAGTATCGTCCAATAAAGTCCTATAATGCATCACATACATTATAGAACTTTAACGGTAAATGTCGCAGCCATTTTTTTTAGCCCTTGCCACCATGCTTTGCCAAATTAGGAAAACAAATTCCGCTGAAGTCTCAACAGGATGACTGACGTATTCGTTATAGGTATAGGGTTCCGTGTTTTGTTCAATACCGATAAGATGTTATAATTAATTGTCGAGTCATTTTTTTTAGCGTGGAAAGCAAAAAAGAAACTTTGAGTAGTACTGTTTTGAACAAGAAACGCGCTTCACAGAATAACTTTCTCGCCAGCTTTTTCGTCTTCACCCAGAACACAGCTTTCCGCGAGGCTGAATATTTTTTCGGAAGCAATACCCATCATCCCGTTTTCTTCTTTCATTTGTAGCCGGACGTTCTCCAAATATTTGGGTCACCAGTATGTTTCCTAAAGGCTAAACAATCTCACGCCCTTTCATGTCGACTCTGAAGAAAAGCCTTGATCAACGCCAATTTCTTGTAGTCCAAGGGCAGGACCTCGACTATGTCGAGGTCCTGCCCTTGGACTATACGATACACCGGTCGTGACCTTCTGTGTGTGGGCCCGCGAACATTTAGGGTCACCAGTCGCACAGGTTCTTGAAGTTCAGACGTTGTCTCAGAACCAGGGAGAGCGTTTGGCCTCGTAAAAGGAGATCATCGTGCACAGCAGTCAACTGGACAGTTGGTAGCTGTGTTACAGTGACGACAAGCGTGGCTAGCTACTGTTGCGCTTCCCCGACGTTACCTGCCATTGCAGCTCGAGGCCTCAACGAGGTCGTCATAGCGGTGCTTTGCTGAAGTTGCATCGCCATTTATCCTTGAAAAGTTGGACTCCTCGCCAGACGCCGATGAAAAGCCTGAAGTGTTTTTCTCTTCCCGAGTTGCGGGTGAGCACCCGATTACCGGAAGGAGCTGCTGCAACCCACGATCGGGACAGTGTAAGCTCGCTCACTTTAGAGGCTGCAGTGGCATGCTTGTCGCCCTTGTCAGCCATGTTGGATTTCTCAGACTCCTTCGCTGGTGCTGACGCACTTTCCACCCTATCTTTATTCATGATCAAAATGTTTTGGTCCTCAGCCACACATTGTCCCACGGATCGGCCGTAAGAGTGAACACAGTCGGCCCGATCATGCACAATAGTGAGGCATTCGGTTAATTTGGGAAGAGAGTAATGCCGGATATGGGGCCCTGCCCCATCCTGCGGCAGAGATGGCAGAAAGGGAATCGCACCGGCACAGCCATAAGAACCATGCCTCCGCCGAAGCGCAGTTGGTGAGGTAAATGGTCAAGGGCGACATCTTCACGCAGTACCTTGCCTACAATTTGGGCTTTGCTGCATCGGTCTAACGTGAAAAGTCAGAGGTGGGACTTCAGATACGGTCCAATGCCGCCCCCTCTCCTGAGAACCCATGCTTTTTCGAGCGGTTTCCTAAAGTCCTCAATCTAGCACGATCCCTAAGCAATGTCGCAATGCAGCAGAACTGCACGCTTCATCTTATCAGCTGCTGATACGGTAGGCTCATTTACACGATAGTGGGGGGGGGGGGGGCACCTGATACCGAGTTACCAAGACCAGCATCGGCCGTTATCACCGCTCATAACTAGCTTTCCATTCCTCATTCCAGTTTCAAGGCTGAAAGTAAAATCACTACGACATACATACTAATGCAGTCAATATCTTTCATAATTAACTTAATTTTTACACATGTTTATAGTGTCATACATGTTCAAGTTGACGTCGATATTGCCTTGGTTTTTTTATTTTGTGGATATTATTTACAGTCATTAAAGGTGCGGAGAACATGGCACCGAACTGTGAACAAAAGATTAAGGATCTTTGTAAGAACACTACTCTTGGTGAGCTAAAAGAGGTAAGTGGCCGAGAAGACAGGGGCATGCCATTTATATATTTACATCCTCGGTACATATCTCGCAATCCTATATTTTACGGCCAAATATAGAAGTGGGAACCTCATATAGTCCTGTTCAAGCAGGAAAGATTTTCGAGAGCCGAACGACTACTTTCGTACCAGGGATGGGCAAAATACATGCAAATATGTATCGAAATACAAATACAAAATACTTTGTCAAAAATGTATTTAATTACAAATCTAATTACATTTCTAAAAAAGCATTTAAGTACAAGATACAAATACAAACAACTGTATTTGGTCTCCTCCAAATGCTTTTCCAAATACATTCCTCGAAATTTGCGTTAGAGACTTCAGGGCACCTGCAACGGGTTTCTAGGTATCTCATTCTATTTTGCATCGGACACTCGGGAGTTAGTGTGCGAAGCTCTAGTAGCGTAATAGAAATATTATCACAAAAAAATGTAATCAGCTTGGACGTAATAGGTGTAAAAAGTACAGAGCTTCAAGCAGCTTTTTTTGTCGATTACATTTTGGTATAGACCAACAAAGAACCGAGACGACCAAGACGCGCAGCACAAGCTAGAGAATTTTTTATTGTTGCAACTCGCACCAGTTACGAAAATCTGGACGAGCCGCGCATTTAGAATGTTCCAGGCAAAAATATGAATGGAAATCAGGCTGGAAAGCATCACAAGCTGTCACAGGCACTTATTTAGCCAGTCTGCCTGTGAACGTCGATTTCGTCACTATTCTTGCCCTGGACTAGCACCGGAATCACAAAGTCACTAAACGCTTCTGCTTGATTGAGAGACACTCCATTCGGTGCAGAACATAATTTTCTTCCTGCTCTGGACAGTGGCAATAAATGTATTTTCGCCCACCAAAATTGTATTTAATTACAACTGTATTTGAAATACCCACGTTTTAGTATTTAAATACACACGTCAAATACATTACCCAATTTGTAATTAAATACAATTGCAAAATACACAAAGTATTTGAAATACGTATTTCAAATACTTGTATTTGAAATACTGCCCCATCGCTGTTTCGTACATTTTAATGATCAAGCATCTAAAGGTTCGTTTATAGTCCGTCATAGCGCAAGCGTCAGTTGGCACCAGTTGAGGTCAGACCACGCCAAGCTTACACGTTTAAATTGTGCCCTTCTATTAGCAAATTTCACGGGTCGCGTTTAATCTTCTTGTGCCTGCTTTCCATTTCGGCCGCCTGGCAGCTCGCATTTCTGCTGAAAAGGCGGAGAAGCGGTAGCTTTCTGCTTTCGTACATTACATATTTTTTACGATATATGGTATGGCTTTATCTGGAGTTGTGAATAGTCTACACTGTCCGAATCAGCGCCTTGTCGAGCGTTGGCTTGAGCGTCTGCGCATAGCGATATTGCGACGAGCCTACCGTCTATCCTCAGTCTGTGCAGAGGCTGCCGTACAAGCTAGTTGAAACTTCGGACGCAGAGCTCCGATGTTTCACTTGGCACGCCATCGTAAGAACAACAAGCATTATGATTTAATTTTTACTACACGTAAAACAAAAACAAAAACGAGGTGCGCAATTTACTCAATATTTGTGAATATGTGATTGAAATGTCGTTGCTATACTGTCACATATTAGAAAATGTGCGACAATGTGTTTTTTTTTTTTTTTTTTTTTTTATTCTACCGGGCATGGGGTTGCCTGTTTCTCGGCCAGCCCAGAGCGGCGATGCTGCCGACCGGTCAGTCATTCTCTGTACGCTGGCGTGCAAAGCCTATGGATCTGACATCCTGGGGGTTCTGCAACTTTTGGTGGCGTGTGACAGCCCTATGTCGATCATACGCCTTGCATTTTGATTGACCTGTCGTAAAACCTGAACTTACGTAGCAATCAATGTAAACGAAGCCACCGTCAGCGTTAATTACAATGATTATGGTAATAACAGCAAACATAAATCTTATGCAAGTTGCATCCGCAGTCTGAACGCTGCATAAGGTGCGTAATTCATTCCATGCAATGCAGCCAGCACGGCACTAAGAATGTCTGATCACTGTGTTAGACTGGACGGAGCGCGTTTCCGGGCGTAGGCCATATCGGCAATGACGACACTAGACTATACGACAAGCAACTCCACATGCTCCTTGCGCAGTGTTTGCAATGACGTTACTGCGCCGTGCTTTATTAGAAGGATGTGTGTAGAGAGTGACAGACCAAAGGTCTCAGCTCCGATCTCCGATTGGAGAATCTAGGGTGCAGGCGCAAAGAAGTTCGTCTGCTTCTTGTACAGAGGGTGCTTTGGCGTCCGGTTCAGAGCCGCGGAGCTCGTGTATAATCTGCAAGTGCTAGAAATGAGTAAAATCGCAATCTGTATGAAGGTGAACAGGCGAACATTGACCGTTTTTAAACTTGCTGCTTCACGAAATATGGCATTGGTGGCTCGAGCGCCTTATCTCGCGATTGCCACATTTGGTTTGTGAAGCCGACACGCCGCCATGACGTTTGCTTCATCACGTTAACTGTACGGAGCAGGGAATGATTGCGTGAACACCTTCAAATATAATTAATAATTGTTTTTTTTTTTGTTTTTGTTTATCTTAATAAAATAAGTAAAAGGCATAGCACAAAGCTTGCATACTTGCTACTTGACCGAAACTTTCCCCTTAACACACCATGGTAACAAACAGCAAACTATTTCAGAGAACGAATGAAGCAAGGAACAGCCAAGCAATATCGTTATTGCACTTTTAGGCTAATTCTAACATCAGGCTGCGTAGCATACTCCTATATTCCTAGCAATATTTACGTTTTACTTTCCAATTTATTAATAGTGATGGCAATGCATAGTTTCAGGTTGTTAGAACAGATCGCTGGGAGTTATCGCATGAGCACTCTCGGCATGTCGTGTTGCGTTCGTCTAATGTGTTGTTCTCACCACGGCCTGCCAATCCAGAGAGAACAAAATTGTTTCATATTTTATTGCTACATTATGTACCCGCATCAAGTGATAGTTATATGACATTTTTTATTGTCCAAACGAAGAGTTTAACAAAGGCGTTTGCCGCGAAACGCAAAACAAAAACATGTGCTGAAATATAAATTACTTTCTATTTATGAAAAAAAAAACTGTTTGGTCGTTAGACCGCGTGCTATGGTACAGTAAACAAAGTGTGTACAAAACGAGTTTTCAAATTGTCCGGTGAATATGCACAACGTGTTCGTTCTAAGAAAGTTTCAAGTTCGTTCCATTATTCCTCTACGTAACTTTGTCAACCAGCAATTATCGAACGAGCTAGAAGCAAGAATGCTGCTTTTTGCACGCCGAAGAGGATAGAATCTGTTGAGGTGAAGCTCAGAGAAGATAAAAATATTTGAAAGAGTCAAGGTGATTCGAACCCCCTACCTTTGGGCCGGCAGCCGCGTGCGGAGCCCGCTCCGCTCTGCACCCACAATTACATCCCCGCTACGCAGTAGCAGCCCGCCTCGTAAGAATAGAACCAGGGAGCCCTGGTTCAGTACCAGTACCCGGCGGAATTTTTTGGTCGCGCACCGGTCACCTAGCCGTCTTTGAAAATTTGTGTTCGTCCTTTGTCCCCCTGGTCCCCCTTTTCCAGATACTATTTTCGTCTATTGTGTCCAGCTCGCTTGCACCTTCGCATTTAATTGCATTATAATCATTGAAATGCAGGCCGTTCACCCTTGTTGGTGTTAGACTGGCGGCAGCTGATAACGCCCGTTTGCTCTATTGACGTCTAGCTCTTGGTTAGCTCAGTTGGTAAAGCGCTCCACTGGAAACGGTCAGGTCCCTGGTTCGATACCAGGGACAGGCAGATTTTTTTCTGTCACGCACCAGTTACCTAGTTGTGTTCAGAAATTTTTGCTTATCCTTTGTCCCCCTTGTTCCCCTTCTCCGGGAATTATTTTCGCCTATCTTGTTCAGCTCGCTTACACCTTTGCATTAATTGCATTATCATCATAACCTTGAATGCACGCCGTTCACCCTTTTGGTGTTAGACTGGCGGCAGCTGATAACGCCCATTTGCTCTACTGACGCAAAACTTCTGGTTAGCTCAGTTGGTAGACTGCTCTACTGGAAATGGACAGGTCCCCGGTTTCATGGGCAAGGACCAGGAAGATTTTTTTTCGGTCGCGCACCAGTTACCTAGCTGTGTTCAGAGATTTGTGCTTGCCCTTTGTCCCCCTTGTTCCCCTTCTCCAGGGATTATTTTCGTCTATTGTGTCCAGCTCGCTTGCACCTTCGCATTAATTGCATTATCATCATACTCTTAAATGCATGCCGGTCACCCTTGTTGGTGTTAGACTGGTGGCAGCTGATAACGCCCATTTGCTCTACTGACGTCTAATTCCAGGTTAGCTCAGTTTGTAGAGCGCTGCACTGGAAATGGACAGGTCCCTGGTTTGGTACCAGGACCAGGCAGATTTTTTCGGTCGCGCACCAGTTACCTAGCTGTGTTCAGAGATTTGTGCTTGCCCTTTGTCCCCCTTGTTCCCCTTCTCCAGGGATTATTTTCGTCTATTGTGTCCAGCTCGCTTGCACCTTTGCATTAATTGCATTATCATCATACTCTTAAATGCATGCCGGTCACCCTTGTTGGTGTTAGACTGGTGGCAGCTGATAACGCCCATTTGCTCTACTGACGTCTAATTCCAGGTTAGCTCAGTTTGTAGAGCGCTGCGCTGAAAATCGACAGGTCTCTGGTTCGATACCAGGACCAGGCAGATTTTTTCGGTCGCGCACCAGTTACCTAGCTGTGTTCAGAGATTTGTGCTTATCCTTTATCCCCCTTGTTCCCCTTCTCCAGGGATTATTTTCGTTGTTGACTTTTACCTTTCTTTTATGCACAGTTAGTCTATCATTAAAACACCTGGACGTTTGCCCCAGATACTTAAACCCACACGCTAACGGTATCTCATTTCTAACGAGGTACCGATTTTTCTCTATCGGCTTTTTGGCAGCCCTTCCTTTTCTCTTAAATTGGGTAAGGTTGTCCAACTTGAAATCCGTATTGAAAGACACATTTACACTAAAGTCCTTTGCACACGCTTTTAAATTGTGGGAAATCCACCGCCGTCTGATTTCCTTTCCTGTTTCTTCTGTTTTTGGTTGTTACAAGTTCTTTCAGACCCAGTCTCGACGTATTAACAAAAGGATGTGTAGTGTAGCATACCTAAGAAAAAAATTTTGCGGGGTTCCTTTTTTTTTAGTATTCGATCGCTGCACAATTTGAACCCCGTTTTTGTCCAGGCCGTTGGATTGTGGGAATCTCGGGCTTGATGTTACGTGTTCAAACTCGTATGTCGAAATGAATGCTCTTAACTCTCGTGACACTAACTGTGGTCCGTTGCCCGAGTTAACCTCCAGAGCAATTCCATGTCTGGCGAATATACCGAAAGCCTAGTGACAACAGTGCTTGCATTTCTGTCCGCTATACTCCGTTCTACCTTCAGTCCGAGCGCAGTGGACGCCACGAGCCATCCCAGCCGATCCACCGCTGGAGGAAAATCACGTGACCTGCCGGTTGGGCAGAGCGACACAGGGAGCTCAAGGTCACATGACGCTCTCTCAGCGCTGAATTGGCTGGGATGGCTCCTATTCGCGACTCCAGCGACCTATAGGGGGCGCCCCCACCAAACAAACATGGCGGCTGAGTCCAGGTCGCGGCGGCTCGGCCAGGCCGCTTGAACAGGGGGCGCGTTCAATTTAACAGATTTTCTTTTGTTTAATGCCCAATTTTATAGGTATTTGAACTGAGACGGTTAAGTGTAGCTGGTGCAGATAAACTTGCAAAGCATAGTTTTGTTTTGCCGGTGTTTTTTTTTTGTTCTTTTCGTGTCAAACTTTCGTTTCGGAGATTTCGTTCAAAACCGAAACTATGGGCTCCGGAGAGACGGTAATGTACTAATCAGTTTTGATCATGCAAGGAAAGCGGCGATGACATCAGAATTGTTCCACAGAGAGTAACTTTTCAGCTAACTCGCATGCCTCGACCGTGCGACTTATCTGTCCGCGAAATCGAGCTTTTGTGCGTATCCGCGTTTACGAAACAGCTCCAGTCGTCTGCTCGGCCAACAACACAGGCTGCAGGAAAATTACGAAAATTAAGCAGCCGCTTCTTGAGCCAAGGACCATGTTAACCCGCCGGCGCCCCACTAAGCAGCTGATACTCGTATTTCAATTCAGGCTTTAGTAGCAATCGAGAAGTCATTTTGACGAGCGGGTTATGTATTATATTACGTACTATGGGGGGGGGGGGGGGGGGGGGTCCTACTAAAGCGATATTAGCATATCCTTCGGGTTGAAATATGAGCTTAGTTGACTAGCTATTAGGTGAGCTGCTGAATAAAAGTATATTTGACAGACGGAGACATACTACTTAAACTTAGCCAAATGGTTCTATAACCGGCAGCACGGGGACAAACTGAAGAGAGTCTTCATTGAAGATCCGCGCAGAACCTCTCTGCATTGAACGGAGAAAATTAGTAGTTTTTTGTGGCCGGTCAACCTGACCAATGTAGACGTATATTGCTGCTGGCTTCGACGTCCTCGTAATATAAATATTGGAGGCGTGATAAGTCAAAATGCTGTGGCAGCATCTAACGTTGCGAGATTTGTCTCCCACCTTTTGAAAACAGATAATTTCCCTCATTCATCATTTGCAATGAGCAAGTTTTCCTGAATCAAGTAATTGCGAAATAAGCCCAACTCCTTCAGTGTGGTCCAGAGGCTTTTTCGGCGAAAAGCAGCCAAGATGAATAGCCAACGCACCGACCGGCGTGGGTGGCTCAAACTTGAAGCTAACCGAACACAACCAAACTCAGGAAAGCAGCTATCGAACCTTCCCATTCACTTGACTGCAACATTGATGTTCCCTCCAGCATCAGTTACCAAGCAGTCGCCACTTTGAATGGGATTCGAGACTGACAAGAAATCAAAAAGTTGTTCCGTGATTCCTCTCCATCCAAGAAATCGAAAGCACGCGACCGTGTGCTGTGGAGTAAACGGGCTTTCAAACACGTAATAGAAGAAAACAATCTACTCAGGCTTCACCACACTAATGATCACTCAGGCAAACTTAAGAAATATTCGGACCTTCGTCAAATTACATCGCTCGCCACCGCGCCGACAACACGTCTCCGCGAAAGCCACCAGAGACGCGGAGGGGCGCGGAGCGACCTGGACCGGCTGGTTCCCGGTTTTCCCGATTGGCGGCGTCCGTTTTGCTGGAGTCGCGAAGGTAGCGGCAAATGCCCCTCAAAGGGAATCAGATATTCCTCCGCCACCTTTGCATCCAATAGCGTCCCACCGTTTCCGTGACGTCGCGGACAACGCGCGAGGAGGGTCTTGCCTTTCTGTACATATTTGCTTTATCTTTCGACTTTGACTTAGCATTGTGGAAGCCACGAGAGAGAGATTAGAGTTCTCCCCCACCGACGGAAACAAATACGACTTTCGGGGATTAGCTTCCCCCCCGATGGATACAAAGGCTGCTTTCAGGGGCTCGGTTCCCTCTCCGATGAATACAAAGGTCGCTTTCTTAAAAAGTGGGATCGGAGACAAGTGGGAATCCATTGAAGCGGAACAAGGAGCGTTTCCAGTGAACTCTTCTTTCGACTGCGGAGAGATTTGAAACGGGCGCATCACACTTGAGGGAGGAGCTTCTCCTACCTTCTTGACTTGTAACCGCTGCGCTTTGACCGAAGGTGAATCGGAGTATACACTCCGTGCGACGCGACTGGCGCGCCGCCGCGCGGCCGGTACCGAAGGTAGGCAGCGAGAACCCCAGAGAAAACGAAACCGAAACCACTCCGGCGTACGTTGGTACGCATTGAAGTCGGAGTGGTGCGGTAGCGCTGGGTTCACAGTATGAAGTGCTGTATGTGCTGCGTCATTAAGTGCTTCAATAGTTATGCGTCGTGTCTCGTGGAGACAAAGTTTCACAGTTTTTCACCTCGCCGATGTTTTGTGGGACAGCGACAACGATGGAGCCGTGCCGTACGACGTGAGAAATTTAGTCTCCCGATCATGTCTGCCACTGTGTCCGCACGGCTGACATATTCTACACTGCCGCTTTGCGCTCTGCGTTTGTTTTCGTGCCAGTAACGCCTACATGAGTCAGCGCCGATGGGACAAACCCACACTCGCAGGTATGCAGTGCCAATTTCGTTGGAGGAATGCTCTCCAAAGAAGTTTCGTCCCCATCGTACGTGTCGATGATATTTCCGGACAAGTAAGGCACGCAATCTGTACATCATGAAGAAAGATTCGAAATGTAAAAAAAGTGACGAATATAAATCTAAAGAAAACAACAATGAAACTCGGAATCACTGGAGAATCGACGTTTGAGTATGGAAGTTTATGTGGTGTGCTTTCTTTCTTGTGGAAACGCTGATACCCCGAGTTCTGTAGACAACATTTTTTTTTCTCGGCTTTAGAGCCACCTATCGCAAAGTGGTTCGAACTGGAAGTACCGTCCACTGGTCCCTTCCTACCTGTAAGGTATGCACCTCCCACGATGAGTGGTATTATCTGACAGCCTTTGACGGTCAAAGCCAGTTCCCATTTAGTTACGCCGCCCAAACTAAATTTCCACCTGGTTTCGCTGTGCCAACTCTTTTTGTTAAAATAAGTGTTGTGCCAAGTGACGCTCATGTCAAAGTACCTGTGCGCCGAAAATCAGCACCTCGCACAACAGGTTATTACACAACAGTTGACCGTAAAAAGCCCTTGGCGGCCAAACCGTGTGTTGGCCGACAACTTTGTTTTCTCGGCTTCGGAACCACCTTTGTTAAAGTTGTTTCAATTGGAAGTACAGTCCACTAGTCCCTTCCTATACCTCTAAAGTCTCCACCTCCCCCGACCAGTGGTATTCTCTTGACAGCCTTTTCATGGTCAAAACCGGTTCCCATTGAGTTACGCCGCCCAAACCAAATTTTCTCCTGGTTTCCCTATGCCACCTTTTTTTTGTATAATAAGTGCTGTGTCATGTTACTGTCTAGTCCAAGCTCCTGTGTGCCCAAATATGCACTTTGCACAGCCCGATATAACACAACAGGTTGGGTCCAATATTGGATATCCCGCACAGCTTTATTTCTTTATTCGTTAGAAACATAACTTTCACACCTGCTGTCTTAAAGAAACTTGGCAGTCTTCGTGCACAAACTTAGTGAACACTCGCCTCCAAATATCATCGTTCCAGCAGTCCTAGGTTTATAGCGACGAGCGAAATAAATTTCCCACTCAGAGCAATTAAGGTGGCGGCCGTCTTGTTTTTCGGAAAATTACTCCAACTCCTTTTTCGGCCGCAACTAGAGAAATTACCCCTAATTACTAAACTCAATATATAAGAGGTGGAGAACAGCTAAATGCCCATCTGCCCCAGCACTCATGCAACGTCACCTTCAACTTATCGGCTCAAAAAGCAAAAGTTTCGTCCGTGCGCGCTTCCGCCGCCACAGTTTGGCATGCGAAAAGGCGCCGCAGGCTGCTGAACGCGCCTCACAGTCGAACGCCAGCTCCTCCGCTAGCGGCGCGGCGCGCGTTTTTCAAAGCGCCCCCTATAGTTCCCGCACGGAGTGTATAGCTTGTTTGAATATGCGTCGTCAACTAGAAAGTATGATTTTTGGCGACGGTAGAAGCGTTAGCAACGGCGTGCAAGTCTACGGAAGGCAGAGGTCTTCCGTAGACTTGCACGTCATTCAGGCCGCACAAGGAAGAATAAGTCGATTTAGCGTCATCTCACTTTCTGTGTATATAAAATGACTATAGTGCAACACGAAGGAAGTCAAAATATAAGAAAGACAAAAACCCAACCGCTCCGGAAGAAGAGACCGAGTCGATTTCCAAATCTTGGGATTCTCATTGGAGCAGTGTAGGAAGTGTTTTTAAATGTTTTTTTTACTCAACCAGAAAAACTAAGCCGATGTGTGTTTTTTTTTAAATATTTTTACAGGTCATTGTGATGCCTCACGAGTGCAAAGCCACTTGTACTTATCAACATGACTCTACTGCAGATACAGTGGTAGTTAATGGTATGTCTGTTCGGAACCGTAATTATGAAGGAGTTACTCTGCCACAAGGAATGCCGTGCGCTTTTGGGGCGGTGAGTTGTTTTTCACTAAAATATAGAAGGACGGACCTATATATGTTCTTAACATGGCTCAGCGACGTAGAAGTGTTTAGGGATTGAAAAGCGCTTTGATTACCTTTTAAGAAATTAGTGTCGTGAAAGTTTAAATCTGGGCTGAAGTTTATATTGTAATCCGGAATGTCACCTGGCATGTCCATAAATATATAAATATTTTTTCATGATCAGCGCGTTGACATTTAGTATATTTGCATAAATGCTGCGATAGTGTTTTGTGCGGTGAATGGCTGCATATCTGAAAAAAAAAAACGCTAATAAAATACACGTATTTTTTACGCAGAAATGTGACAGCTCCGGCAAGTGCATATGCAGGTTCTGCAATGAAGGTAACAACAATAAAAAGAGTGGTTCCACTTAAGAAATGCAAAAGTGCCACCGCCGTGGAGAAGACGTGGATCTTGTAATAAAATTGGTTACTTTGTATAAGACTCAGTTTTCCTTTCTTTTTTTTTTTCTCTCTAGGCTTTTTTTTTTTTTCATGTAGGCCTTGTCATTCGCTTTCGGACGTTTACTCCATCTCTCATTTGTTGTAAAGCGGCAAGAAACAATGTGGCTGTAGCGCGCTTTTTGTAGTTTGTTCGTAATTTTGTTTTTGCTTCGAAATACCGAAGTGTTCATGGCAAGGAATTTACAGTTCGTTTTAAGTGCCTGGAAAGTAAACATTTTGTTCCGCTAAAAGCAATGAAGTAAAAATAACAATCTATTGTTTTATCGCCTCCCGAAAAGTGAACATTTAAATCTTAAAAAGATTCAGCAAATTAATTGGGTGTAATCGTAACCATAAAAGTAATCGGGCTATAGATTGCAAGAGCTTCGTGTGCTTTAGAATGTGTATGCTAGAGGTTCAAGTGGTGCTAGTACGCGGTTTTTATTTAAACAGATAACAACCAGCATGAACTTGACATCCGCCGATTCATTCCCATGAGAAAGGTTTGTAGCATTTTTTTCCCCGAACTTAATTATAAGAGCAAAAATGAAAAAAAAAAAAAAATCTTTTAAATGTGTAAAAACCTTTCTCATTTTCGTACAAGAATATTAAGATCCGTTACAGAGCTTTTATTTCAAATTCTTGACAATTAGCATTGTGCAAAAATGTTGAGGGCATTTACGCTATCGCGTAACGAGCGCGACGGCGACGGCAGCTCGTGTATTTTGCTGATGATTGTGACGCTGTTGTTATTCCTGCGCAGCCTCCAGAGCACGATCTTGCAGATTCTGAGGACATTTTGTCATCCGCTCGCGATCCCGGTCCCATGCCTTCTATTTACTTTGTGTACGATAATCTATCTCAATGCGCGAAAGTGGGTGTCCAAACAGGATACTTCAGAATGCGTGAGGTGACACTTCTCAGCCATATGATGTGAAAACTGAAGTCCGGCAGTCTGTCTTCTGTTTGGACATTCACCAGCCAAACATCCCGGCTTTCCTCCTCGTCGCATATTCTTTTTTTTTTTTTTTTATTTGCCTACGTTTGTGTTTGCATTTTTCGAGCGTCTTCCGCCCCCACGCGTGAGGGGGCTTCGAGCAGCCGCAGGGCTCGGTGGAGAAGAGTCGGACCCCGTTCGTTAACAAACGGTTTGGGTTTCAGTTTGGGGCACCGGAACACCCCTGTCTTGGGCTTCTGTCCGCACTTGTAGCTTTTAAGCGGGTGTGCTTGTGTCCGGCATATTTCGCCGTTTAGTGTAGCAACTTCGCTTTTAATCGACGCAATAGCTTAACTTGGCGGCGCCAGCCAGACGGCGAAGAAAGCATGTAGTGACTCTACAAAGAATTTGGGTTTGACCGTTGAGGTGTCGGAGGGGGGTCACGTTGACAGCTCGCTGGTCATTGCGTAAGAGTGTACCACGTGACAATGGCAAATTTGAAGTGATTGGTCCGTCTCTGGAGGGAAAGGAGGCCCCTACGAGTCTAGAAAAGGGCTGCCGAGAGGATTCTCGGGGATTCGGCTTTTGAGATCAGGCAAATTCGGCTCTTGAGACTGGGGACTAAAATATGGGTTTTAATTTTGGGAGTTTTGAAATGTAAATTACCGTTGACTTGTCGTTTTGTTTTGAAATAAACGTGGCCACACTGGCCATTGTAAACCAACCAACGTCGTAATCTGTCCAGCGGGATCGAACAGCTTTTAATGTTTTTTTTTTTTATTTTTTTTATTTGAGTTCCCGGGGGACTTGCATCGGGCGAACATCATCATCGGTCGTCACCATCCTGACCGGCCCCCTCTCCCCGTGGAAAGTTGACTGGAGTTCACTATCAACTAAATAGCGTCTCGCGCCGTCAATATTTCCCTAAACCTTCTTTTTTTCGCGTAAAATAATTTTTTGACACGCGTGTCCCGACAAGTCGGTTTAAAAAATGATTTTTTTCTTTTGTTTTCAGGTGCACTTTAAAGGGATACTACAACGAAATTTGAAATATTCCCGTCGTGTTCAAAAATAGGTTGAATATGATCCACAATATCCGTAAAAAACAATCGGACGTTTGTATTTTGAGCCTGGTGGCTGTATTTTTCGTTATGAACGGCCCACTCTGGCAAGCGCTCATAGAACAGCCAGCGGAGACCACGTGACATCCAAAAAAGTGAAAGCCGTTTACAACTCCCTGTAACACCGAATTAGAGCGCAGCTCTTGAGGAGGAGGAGGGAAGGGTACTGGGGGGTGAAGTGGCCTGGGGGGGTCACGTGACCTTGGGGGTCACGTGACCTTGGGGGGTCGCGTGACGATGCCGATGATGTCATCAGTGACGTCACTGATGACGTCATCCGTGATGATGACGATGCGGATGCCGGTGACGTCATCAGTGATGATGACGATGCGGATGCCGGTGAGGTCATCAGTGACGTCATTGATGACGTCATCAGTGACGATGACGATGCGGACTCCGATGACGTCATCAGCGATGATGACGATGACGATGCGGATTTCGGTTACGTCATCAGTGACGTCACTGATGACGTAATCCGTGATGATGACGATGACGATGCGGATGCCGGTGACGTCATCAGTGACGTAACATAACGTCATCAGTGATGATGACGATGACGATGCGGATGCCGGTGAGGTCATCAGTGACGTCACTGATGACGTCATCAGTGATGATGACGATGACGATGCGGATGCCGGTGACGTCATCAGTGACGATGACGTCATCGGGGAGGTCACGTGACCTCGGCGGGGGGGGGGGGGTCACGCGACCCTGGGGGTGGTCACGTGACCTCGGGGGGGTCACGTGACCTCGGGGGACACGTGACTTTGGGTGTCACGTGACCTTGGGGGTCACGTGACCTTGGGGGTCACGTGATCCTGGGGGAGGGGTCACGTGACCTCTGGGGGTCACGTGACCTTGGGGGCCACGTGACCTTGGGATGACCTTGGGGGTCGCGTGACCTTGGGGTGACCTTGGTTACGCCGACGCCGACGCCGCTCAAGCCGGGAACGGGCCCCTAAGAGCTGCGCTCTAAAAATCGTGACGTAGTTAGTCTCGGGACGAGCAAAGCTACGGCAAGGCTGACGTAGAGAGGATGGCCTAGTCGTTCCAGCCACCGCTTTTGTGCGAATTTTGAGTGACGGGCTAATCTTCTGTAACCTTGTAGGGGGACAACAGCGACTTCTGGGACGCACAAAAGGGATTCTCGGGAAGAGCGAAGTTCCTGCTTCCCTTCTTCTCTCGTCGTGGCCGGAGGCGAGCAACCTCCGTCGCTAGCTGTCAAGGTTCCTAGACGGGCATTACAAGCGAGGCATTAGCGACATCCACCAGTTGCTCTTTGCTAATCGTTTAATCCTTTTAAAATTCCTTTTCGTGACTTTTAGAGCGCAGCTCTTAGGCGCCCGTTTCCAGCTTGAGCGGCGTCGCCGTCGCCGTCGGCGTAACCGCGCGTTGCATGCAACCTGAGTTGCAACCTGAGAGCATGCAACCTGGGTCGCGTTACCCGGGAAGTCACGTGACCTGAGGGGGTCACGTGACCATTCCCAAGATCACCCCCAGGTCACCCCAAAGTCACGTGACCCCTCGAGATCACGTGAACCCCCTCTCCGAAGTCACGCGACACCTCCCCCCCCCCCCCCGAGGTCACGTGACCCCCTCCCCCCGAGGTCAGGTGACCCCCCCCGGAGCATATTAAAGAATGAGGGGAGGAGGAGGAGGAGGAGAAGGAGGAGGAGGAGGGGTCTGTTCTCCTCTCAGTACCCTCCCCTCCTCCTCCTCAAGAGCTGCGCTCCAAATCGGCGTTACAGGGAGTTGTAAACGGCTTTCACTTTTTTAACAAGATATTGGTGTGTTCGATGTGATACTGCTCCTTTGAACACATATAGACCAAAAAATGAGCGCCGCAATGCAAGCCGAAATGCAAGCGGCGAGCGCCGAGCGGCGCTCGCCGCTTGCCGCCAGGCGCGCCACAGGCGCACCGCGCGGTGGACCAGATCTGATAGCATCCTCGATCACCCGCACCAGTGCGCACCGGGGCAGCGAGGCTCACCCCATCGTCTTCTATCAAGTGAACCGGTGGGCGCCGGACGTCCTCGATCAACGGAGCGCACCCTCCCGGTGCAGCTTTTCGTTGCCCCAACGCGCACCAAGGAAATCGACGGTGCGCCGGGGTGCAGTCCCATCAGGCATTGCGGCCAGGAGCGGGAATTGAGGAGATGGCGGGAATAGAAGACGCGCAGTCTATCGAGGTGGCGACCCTGCGAAGACGAACACTCCTCGCAGCTGCACTCGATTAATTCCTCGGCTGTTCTTAGAGCGAGACGACGATCTCAGTGATGTGATTGCTGCGCCAATTGCACCAAACTGCGCCAAAGAGCTAACCCTGCTACATCCTGCTACATTTTGCCAAAATATGGGTAATCTGCGCCAAGCCTGCGCCAAAGAACAAATTTAGGTTGCCTTTCAAAACCGAAACTACACTGAGTACCGTAATTGACTACTTCCAAAACCGACGCGCCCCATCGCGGCGAAATACCACGCAGTGCCCTCTGGGAACTAGTTGGCCACTCAGTTTCGGTTTCGACTGAGCAGCTTCACCTCATGCTATCACTCCGCGACCGAACGCGCTGCTTGCGTTTTCGATTATCTGACTTTTCACGAACGTACAATAGACTCATTCTCGAGCGATACAAAAGGAAGACCGGGGCACTTTCCTTGCTTCCCGAAACACCGGATATTGTGCGTCCGTATGCGAACGTAGTAAGACGTGGCTTAGTCACCTCACCCTACGAGTGCATGTTTGAGCTCAATTTCAATAATCCCGTCTAGTACCACTGAACTAGAACTGAAATTTGTTCATCTGGAGCCTTATACGTATTTGGCTTGCCAAACGTCAGTTTCTTGTTACTTCATTGGGCGAAAAGAAAGCCGCA